ATATATATATATATATATATATATATATATATATATATATATATATATATATATATATATATATATATATATATATATATATACATGAACATAATTTATCACATGATCATCTTCTATTTGCACTTCATTTGACCTACTAAGTTGAACTTTATACATGGATATATGATTAAAGTAGTACAAATTATGTTTTCACCAACTACCATGACTAAATCATAATAAATCTGATGATTATGAAACCTGAAAGGTGGGGCTACACTGATCCATTGTTATTTTGTATTGCATTCAATCATGTTATCATAACATTCAATAAGTTTAAACATAATAATTTTTTCAATGTGTTAGATAGTTTAGTTGGTAAAAAATTTGATAGTTTTTCTTTTAGGGTCATGAGTTGCTTTCGTCACTTATCTTATTTTTAAAAAAAATGTAAACATGATAAACTTCACCTTTTTAAAATTGAGAGTTTGATATTTGCATTTGATAACGAAGTTAAAACTATCATAATCAACATTAGGTGAAGAAGATGTAGTTTGTTCATATTGTTTATGTTATTCTTGTATTTGGAAGTATAATTGGGTTATGATCATTATTTATAAACTCCATTATGCCAGAATAGATAGAACATATATGCTTAGATTGCCGCTGAGGAGATACTTAAAACTAGTGGTTAACAAATTATATATATAGAATTTTATTATAAATATTTTATGTTCATAATTAGATAATATATATATAAATAATAATAATAATAAACCTTTGACTTGGGTGAGTCCACCACTTGTTAAGTTGATTAGGGATAATTCTTTTTTTTGTAGAACTGCTTAAGATTTCAGCTAAAAAAATGAAATAATTTTTCATTAACTCAATTGAATGGATCAGTCTTCCCATATGAGAAGCTCATCAGTTCAACTGTAATGGGTTTCAATCATAAATTGGACATGGGTCATATTGAGTAATGATCAGATTAATATGATTGGACCGATCTGTTGTTTTCTTGGTCCATGCTCAATCCAATTAAATGAAGACTTAAAATAATCCCCATTCTAGTTCCCAATTTTTAGGGTTTTGGACTCAGACCAACCCAACCCATTCCAAACCCTACTCAAAAATTACAGGGAATAAAAATTAGTAGGTACAACACCAAGAATTGCAGCCAAACACCGATGACATTTGGATGTGATCCACTGTGCTACGTTTAAGCTGCTTCAATGAGGTCACCATCAATTTCTCTCTCTGCATCCCACATTTGTTAGTCTCTCCAATGATTCCTCTCTTTGATAGTACTATTTCACCGGTTTTTTAATGTCAGTACATGAAGGCAAACCTCCTCCCATATGATGTTAAGATTAATTCAAATAATTAAAATTAAATAAAATTAAAAATCAAGATTTAGATTTAAATAAATAGATTATGATGAAAAGATTTATTTGAGATATGATAGATTTTTTTATTATTTTAAAAACTTATATTTTAACTTTTAGTCAATATAAATAGGTACATTGGTTCAATTAAAAAACAGGGAAGTACTCCTAGTTTTCTCTATTATTCTCTTCCTCTTCTCCTTGAAATTTTGTAGAAAACCAAAAGTGTAGTATCAGAGCCAATAATATGGTATCAGAGCTTGGTTCAAATAAGATCAATAGTATGATATTAGAGCCGCGTTCAAAGAAGATCAATAAGAGTACATCGATTAAAAAAAAAAGAAAAGGCTAATAGATCTAAAAAAAATAAGAATATGGTAGGCATTGGAGTTTGTTCTTAATTTACTTCTTCCTATCTTCAAAGGTAATTATCAATTTTGAACTATTAATATGAAAACCCTATTTATTTCATAAGAATTATGAAATTTGGTTGAAAATGATTATGTTAAGTATAATTTACAAGATCCCAATATTACTAATGATCAAAGAAATCAGATGAATGAGAATATACAGAAAGATACAAGAGCCCTCTACATGTTACAACAAGCAATAGATTATTTTGTATTTTTCCGATGATGGCATCAACATTAATAGAAGTCTGAAAAAATATTAAAAAGTCCATTTAGAAGCATTGACAAGGTAAAAATTTCAACATTTCAAATTTTTTAGTATAAATTCGAAACTCTATGATGAAAGATTCTGAATCTATCGTTGATTTCTTTTTAAAAGTATCTTTTCTTGTGAACTAAATAAGATCTTATGGTGAAAATCTAAAAAATCAAACTATAGTAGAAAAGGTTTTATGGAGTTTATCTCCAAATTTGATATAATTTCTACCATTATAGAAGAAGCTAAAGATACAAATATATTATTTGTTGATAAATTAATGGGCTCCCTTTTAATTCATAAACAAAAGGTAAATAGATCTTCAAAAGAAACTTCAGGACATAATCTTCAAATAAAGATAGATCAGAAGAAGGATTAAAAGAAAATTTCAGAAACCAAATCTCAATAGAGAGATCAAAATAGCAAAGGTCATGACCGATCAAATGAAGGTAATAAAAAAACCCATCAATATTTTTGTTACAAAAATATTAGACATTTTGAAAAAAAATTGTTGGTACAAAAATAAAAATCCAAATGTTTTTCTCTACTCTTACCATGATCATCTTGAAAAAGATTGTTAGAATAAAAATTAAACAAAATATCATAAGAAAAATAATGATGAAAAATGGGATAAAAAATATTTTCTTTATAGTATCTATTAAAGAATATTCTAGATGTATTTGGTTTTTAAATAACGGATGTATGATAGGGGATAAAAATTTATTCTAAATGCTAAGTGATTCAATCAGATCTACATTACAAGAAGGGAAATGACAATAAGGTTCAAGTAGAAGAAAAAGGAATAATTGTTGTGAACACTAAATTTGATAAAAAATTTATTGATGATGTGATATTTATTCCTAATTTAAAATAAAATCTTATCAATATAGGATAACTTATGAGAAAAAGATATTATACTATTTTTAATGATGCAAAATACTCGATTTATGATAAGAAAAATTGAAAAATTAATAGCAACTATGAGAATGACAAAAAATAAAGTGTTTCCTTTATTGTTTTCAGATTTCTCTTTACATGCTACTATGAATCGATATTATGGCACAAAGGCTATGATCATCTGAATTTTTGTCGATCTATATAAATTATCTCACATGATGAATCTTATAAAATTTAAACAGCTAAGAAGATATCTCAGAATAAGACTAAAGTTGACGAAAGTTTTGATGAGAGCAATGGAGAGCCACAAGTCAAGAAGCAAAAAATTTCGGATTATATTTCATCTACCGCTAGTAAACCTGTTATAAAGACTATAAAAAAAGGAGAGTACCAAATGAAGATAAGGATAACAACTCTGAAAAAAATTCCGATGATGAATATTCTCAAGTATCAAAAGTCAACAATAGCTATAACGAATCTTCTAAGGAAAGTGAAAATAAGCAACCACTAAATATTTTAAAAAATATTAAAGATGTAAAAATGGTTGATGGAAGACTAGTTTGCCAATATCTTTACAAAAGTTTTGGCAAAAAGATAAAATTATTTTGTAAATAACTTCAACTTACAACTATTTGAATTAAGAAAGTGTATTAAGATTAATTCAAATAATATAGATTAGATAAAGAAAAAAATAAAGATTTAGATTTAAATAAATAGATTAGGATAAAAAGATTCATTTGGGATATGGTAGAATCTTTCATTGCTTAAAAAAAAACTTATAATTTACCTATCTTTTAGTCAGTATAAATAGATACTATTGAATCAATCCAAAAATACTATGGATTGGATTGGAAAGACTCCTAATTTTATCTACTATTCTCTTCCCCTTATCCTCGAAGTTGTGCAAGAAAAATCAACAGAGCGCTTTTCTTTGTGCAGTGTCAAATATAGATGAAATGAGATTGCATGCATTGCATGTCCCACTTCATTCATTGGTATGGACTTGAGCTTTTCTTGTGGGCGCTTTGTGCCTGCGGTTGGGAGACCATAAAGCATTTCTGATGTAGTGACTGGGGATTTTTTCTGCAAATGATTGTCGAAAAACACAAAATAAAGGGGAATTTTCTTTTAAACCTTACAATGTAGTAAAATCTTGATCCTCATTCATGTTTTACACGTTTTCTCTCTATTATTTTCATTTGCATCGAACATTTTGACCTAAATTTCGATTAAAAGTGGTTTTTCTATGAATATAAACAAGATTAAAAAAGGATTGTAATTTTTAATAAAACTCGACATGTGGCTAATAATTAAGACTCTAAGCAACCAATTATGTTTATACATGGTATCCAATTGGCCATTGATAGTCCACTTAACCAAATGATTACGTGGCTTCATTTCATATGATGATATGATACTATATAAGCATGATATCTAAAAGAGAATATTTATATTTGATGAACGTATTAAGCTTTAGTCGAGATCTAATATCACGATTTGATCTAATGAGATAATTTTATTTGGTACAAATCATCGGTCAAAATATTTAAATTAAAATTAAAATTAATGCACCCATCATATCCTTATAAGAGTACCTAAATTTTAGTCCACTTTTGATGAGAGAATAATTAAAATATTATAAATATATTCGAAAATACGTGATAAAAAAAAAAAAAAACTAAGCTCTGAAGAAGTCGTCAGCTCAAATACTTCTGAAAGATCATTTGATTTGTTAACTTAATATGTTTCAAATTAGTGATCAAGTCAATCGATTTCAAGATGGGGATTGATGTCCATTTTAACAGTAACAAATATCTAGAAGAGTAATAAATTATTATTTGAGTTTCACATATATATATATATATAGAAAAAAAAAAAGAAAAAAAAAGAAATAAGACAACGATTTGTTTGCAATTTAGTTGCAGGTTGATGCAGGAAGATGATCCATCACCAACCTGGGAGAAATAATCGAGAAACCTGGGTGACTGTTGCTATCTTGCATGATATTGTCGTGTTCTCGATGTCCCATGAGTGCTTTCGAGGCCAAACAAGGATGTGAACTCAGAGATGACGGCTTTGGCACGAAGCGAGAGTAAGGACGGAATTGAGAGAGCAGAGTTCATATGCTGACAGGAGACTTGCCCTTGCAGCGAAGCAATCAAGAAAAACAGAAGCAAACAAATGGCGACCACAACAGTTCATGGTGAGGCTTGTGTGCGAGAAAATGCTACAATAATAAATTTCTGAAAGGAATACATGATGAGCAGATGAAAGAGCCAATTGTATTCCCTCTCTGATCCTTACAATTCCCACTCGTCATCTTATCCTCACGGGATGTGGACCATGGCGTCTTTCTTTCTTTTTTGCTGCTTTGTTCTCCGAGCTAATCCTCCAGATTGTGGCTTGGTCACATCTGACCTCTATCGCTGCAATAAGGGCATAAGTCACAGCTGACTCTCACACCATCTTCTTCTTCTTCTGTGATATGTAACAAAAGAGTATTTAGTTTTTGGATCAAATCGCAGGGGAAGAAGAGACCGTTTTGCTTCTGTCGTTTAAAGAGAGGCAATTAATTGTTGGAACCATCCACTTCTATCAGAGACAGACAGTCTCTGATCCTTTTTATTTTGAAGTGCTGTTGCTTTTATACTTTCAAGCACTGAACCAGTCATTCCTATATGCATCCATGTTCAAGCGGTAATATGCTACATCTGAATTATTTTTATGGAACAAGATTTAGAGTAATTCTCCCATGTCTTGTGTTCAGTTTGCATAGTGTTCATCAAACCCAACTTTTTTGGGGTTGAAAAAGTTATCTATGGATTGTTAAAGCATTTATGATCTTTAAGATAATATTAAAATATGTCATGAGTTCTCAAATCTTATATCGATCATATCAAGCCTAAACCGATTTGCTTATTAAGTAATTTCCTAACTCCTTAAACTTGTAGGATTTGTGATCCCCAATTCAATCTTTAAAAATGATGAACAAGTCCAGTGATCCTAAAGCATCAGATTTAAGATTCAGCCGGTGGCCAACTCTGGGGCGAGACTGTCACAACTCGAATGCAGTGTTCAGGCCTCAGCCCATCTTAATCTACAACAACAATCACCAAAGCTTGTTTAGCTACCAACGTTTGTATCTTGTGAGATATTAATTAGGAGAGGGAGAGAATGCTCTTGTAATTAGAAAGCTTATCAGAGTATTATGATTAATTAATGAATCAGAGAGCTCAGAGTATTATGATTTATAGATATTTTGAGATTTTTTTAAATACCCTTAAACTAGTTGATATTTAGCTATTGGAAAGGATTAATTTATCTTTTCTTCATAATTTAAATTACAAAATAATCAAAATACTCTTGATTGATGTTTGATCGGAAAAATTGGTTATTTGCTACCCTCGGTCCGATGATCATCGTTGGGACCAAAGGATCGGTCGATTTTAATGTTGACTATTTATTTATTTATTTTTAAATTTATCGGTTTGAATTGGAATCGAAATAATTGATTATGGTCTTAATTTTAGTTTTATTTCTACCTAGTTAGAACCAAAATTAAATTGCCTACGTTCAATTTTGATTCCGAACCGATAAACCATCAAATTGATTCATCTTAATCGAACTCGATTTTGATTCAATGGTCAGAAATAGTTGTTTAAAGATGGACAATTAGCTTAGAATTTTCTCCAGTTGCTTGTTTGAACCAAGTTGGGCCATCCTCTCACTGGACACAGTCTCTGATTCTTTGTTTAAGTGCTTTTGACACATCTTAATTATTTTTATGGAACAAGATATAAAGTAAATCTTTTATGACTTGTGTCCAATTTGCAATGTGTTCATCAAAACCAAGTCACTCAACTGACTCCCTCTCCCTCTCTCTCCCTCCCCCTTTTTGGGTTTAAGAAGTTCTCCCTCTTTCTTGAAGAATGATTGCTGAAGCATATGTTGGATTTACGATGTTTAAGATGACATTAGAATATCTATTTTGAGATCTTTATTAATATATTGTTACACAAGTGATATTTTCAATTAATTTTTTAAGAACGATGAACAAGTCGTCAGTAATCCAAATGTTCTCAAGCATGCCAAAAGCCAATGCAGCCAGTTCAGGCCTCAGTCCATCTTGATCTACAACAACAACAACATGATGATTGTCATCAAAGCAAGTCTAGCTGCCAACATCTGTCGTGTAACGATGCAGGTGTATTCATTCATATTCTATGGTTCTTCAAGCCATCCCAGTCTCAGTCTTTTGATGTAGCTACACATATCGACAATAGTTTTGCCGGCAATCGTATCACAGGTAGAGAAGCGACGTTCTTATACAGCTACCTTAAAATTTCTGAGGTGAGAGAGCGAGAGATAGATAGATAGATCGATAGAGAGGGAGATCAGGCGTAGGCCGCCGGCGACAGGCGCGGGCGCAGAAAAACTTTGAGAGGCACAGCCTTGGGAAGAGCCAGGCCAAACTTCTCGTCCATGTTGAGCTCCTCGCCGTCGGGAAGGCTCCAGTCGAAGGCGTGCACTAGCATGCCCAACAGGTACTGAACGAACACCATGCCCACCAGCTTCCCCGCGCACACCCTTCTCCCCGCCCCGAAGGGGATGAACTCGAAGTCGTTCCCCTGCGGATCGTACCTCGCGCCCTTGCCGGTGATGAAGCGGTCGGGGTCGAACACCAGCGGCTCCTCCCACACCTCCGGGTCCCGCCCGATGGCCCAGATGTTGACGAGGAGCCGGGTGTTCTTGGGGATGTAGTAGCCGTTCACCTCGCAGTCCTCGTGGGAGAAGTGGGGGAGGCTGAGAGGGGTGGACGGGTGCAGCCGCATCGCCTCCTTGCATACCGCCTGCAGGTATGCGAGCTTCGGCAGGTCGGTTTCCTCCAGCAGGCGGTCGCGGCCGACCACATCGTCCAACTCCGCCTGCGCGCGGCTGAGGATCGCCGGGTTCTTGAGCATTTCCGCCATGGCCCACTCGACGATGATGGCGGAGGTATCGGTGCCGGCCGTGAACAGGTCCTGCATCAACACAGCTTGTTATGCACACTGTTCGAGTCAGATCAACTCAGAGAAATGCATTACATGGAATGGAATCAAGAGAGCCTCAAAACAGACACCCAAATGATCCAAGCTGTCAATCTTATCATATCTATCTACCCTGCCACCAACATCGTATTGAAAACTAAGTCATTGGCTAAATCACTCCCTTACTTTCTGCTCGTTTTGCTCAATCTTGCCCGGACAAGTGTACGCAGAAGAGCCTGACTTCATTAATAGGCTAAGTATCGAACAGAACAAAAGTCGTATCAAACACTTCATTACGGCGTTGACATTCCACTACCATCTTCATTCTTGATGTGTATACGACGAGACACAGCCGATAAGTGTCCAAGAAAGCCCAAAGCACGAGCGTGGAAAGGTGAAAAAGTTGCTATCAAACGAAGATATAGGAGGAGGCCGGAATCTGGTGGTGATCATGTTGTTATGAACTCGACAAACAATGGATAATACCGTTGACCCAGAGAAACTGTTCATCGAAGATAACAAAGCAGTAATTTGAAGAGATGATTCCCATCGGAAAACTTACGAAGATGAGTGCTTTAACGTTGACTTCCGAGATGGTCTCCCCGTCCTCCGTCACCTTGTTGGCCATGACCTTGTCGATGAAGTCCAGCCTCCCCTGCCGCTCCCCCTTGGCCGCCTCGTGTTCCTCGAACAGCTTCGTCACCATGGCGTCGAACCTCAAGTGCACGCTCAACATCTTCTTCTGTATCCCCTGCAGGTCCATCCACGCGATCGACGGGAAGAAGTCGCCGATGTTGAACTGCGCGCCGCCGGTCAGCATGTCCACCAATATGTCCTTGAACTTGTTGGACTCCTCCCCGTGGGCGTCGAACACCCGCCTGCTCACCAAGATCAACCCGACGACGTTGGCCAGCGTGCACACCAGCACGTCCATCAGCTCCACCGGCTCGCCGGCCTCGGCCAGGCCGTGCAGGGAGCGGGCCATGCGCCGGAACTCGTCCCGGCGGACAGGGGCCCAGTCGACGAAGGCCTTGCCGCCGAGGAGGTGCAGGCTGCACATCTTGCGGAGGAGCTTCCACGTCGGGGTGTAGTCGGCCATCGCCAGGTTCTGGCGCTGGTAGCTGACGTCGCGGGCGCTGATGGGGTCGGGGCGGTTGGCGAACTGGGCGTCGACGGTCTTGAGGAAGGCGCGTGCAGCGTCGGCGTTGGAGGCCACGACGCAGCCATGAGAGCCCAGCCGGAGGAACATGATGGGGCCGTAGCGCTCGGCGAGGCGGGCGAGGCTGGAGTGCGCGCTGGCCCCGACGAGGAGAAGCGAGCCGAGGATGGGGAGCCCCCGGGGGCCCGGCGGGTAGGGGAAGCGGGAAGGCGACTTGCGGAGGAAGCGGTGGAGGAGGAGGTGGACGAGGAGGCAGAGCACGGTGGCGGCCACGAGGTAGGGATCGATCGCCATACCGCTGCCGATGGTGCAATCTATGAGAGTCTTCTCCTCGTGATGAAGCCCGGAAGTGCTACAAATAGCCGCTCAGAGAGTAAAAAAATGTGAACATCAATTTTTTACTTTTCTGCGCTCATAGCAATCTTTAACATTAAACTATACAAGAAATAAAATGTACAGACATGAAACGGAAGCTATAAAATTTTGTTCAAAATACGATCACGTTTTCGTTGGTAGGTTTATGTTAACCGCAGGACGAAACAAGTATAAAAAGGATGAAGAGGTTCCAGTCTGTTCTCTAAATCAATCCTCGATCCAGATTGCCAGTGTTAATGTATCAAAAAGCATGTAAGTTAATATCAATTGTTATTTCTATGATTCATTCAACATGAAAGACAAATTTTGCTTCATCCATAAGAAATGGTCTAAAAGAAAAAGGTTTGGTCGTTTTCATTCTTTTTTTTTTTTTAATTTCACATAACATGGTGGAAGTAAATGGAAAAAGGTGATAATGATTGTGCTGAATTTGTGATGGATACTCTCTGTCTCTCTCAATGGGATGAAAACTTGGAGGAGGATAAGACGAGATGCAATAGATAAAGGAAGTCGAAACTTTTGCTGGACAATCAAATGAATCCATTTTGCAAACCTAATGAATGCCCCCCCCCTAAGAATGCACAACAGTTGGGATTTAACTGTAGGAAAGCAGAAGAGAGACGAAGAACAACAACAAACATGGCAGATTTGGTGGGAACGGGAGCAGATTGCTGTGACTTGTTGGCATTTAGCATCTGTTCCATGTTATCTTGCTGATTCCATGTTTCAACCAGATCTGTAACACTCGAGTGAATCAACTCAACACTTCCCCACACAGCCTTCTCCTAAACAAATGCTTTGACTGACATCAGGCTGGCATAAGGAATGAAACAGATGTGGCATCTGAAAGCTACAGTTCATCTACTCTCTTATGTGGCCTCTGAAAGCTACACTTTCTTTTAATGAAACTTCCAATACAGGAGGCTTCAGAAAAATCATGAACTACCCAAATCAAACGAACGGGTGTTACTTCTTGAGGTCCATAATTGCTGTGGGATTTGTTGAAACAGAGAGGGATGTTAAGGTCCACGAAAAGAAGTCCCGAAAAGCTCAATCGCATGTATAGCACCACTTCTTTGACTATTTCTACGTTTGATGATGTTTATGTATTCACACTGTTCTTGTTGAGATTATCTGTGCTGCTATAAGGTTAAGGCTCCATGAACTAATGATCCAAGATGAGAAACAAATATGCAGGAATCCAATTGAAAGAATCAAAACGCTCTATCATGCTATCCGACTTCACAGTGGCCTTCAATAATTTGATCAAAACCAAAAGTGATGGCCGTCGAACGAGCTATTATAATATAGTTAAAACGAAGAGTAAGTATTGTTATAGCTATATAATAAGATCATTTAGTCTTATATTAATTAAGGAGTAAGGGCTCATAAGTCCGTTGAATCTTCTTTACCCTTAAAAATTTTTTTTAGAGTTAATGTTCTCTAACAAGTAAAATCTTATGAGTACACTCATATGTTCAAAATAAATAATTCATCGTAAGTCCATCACACCAATGACCACTAAGTGATTTATCATCATGGGATTCTATATTTTTTTCTTGACATTAGGACCTTGAGACAAAGACATGTATGGATGTGCAGTTTCGTGGATTTAGCCTACTTGATCAATAACAACAAGAAAAAAAAGACTGCCAAAAAAAATGGTTGACTCTTTTTCAATATTTAATTATGGATTTGCCTTGAACATATAGGCTAATTGGTAAGCCAAAAACCCTAACCACACTACATATTGTAATTTTTCGATTGACGTATGCATATTACTTGTGCGTTCTTTAATGGTTGATTTGGATACCGTGTGTCCTCTATGATTTGTGGCTGATATCGAGCTATGTAATTAGAAGTTGAAGTAATTAAGAGCCATCCTTAGTTGATGTGAATCACTTTCTCTTCCCTGACCTCTTCTAATATATGTATGAATAGTATCTGTAAGCGCTTAATGGAATTATACTACTTTTAGTGAAGCGAGTTGCCTAAAATCTAAAGATGCATTTTAATGTAATAATATTTGCCTTAAAGGACGACAATGATGCCATGACAACTTGTACTTGATTTAGAAAGGATAAAGGACATCGCTCTCTTAGAAATTGATTGATTGACATTGAAAAACTCTAGTAGATGCATTTATTCTAATTGATCTTGGAAAACTAAATGTAAATAAGTTAAACTTTTATTAGTAATTCTTGTAAAAGAAATTTTAATGATATGTATACTCTTCTACTTTTAGAGATTCATATCATGGTTGTTTTTTATTTTTCTTTCCGCGCATTATATACACTTAGTTTTCTTCTAATATACTCTTCTAGAATCAAATGTGAAATATTCATGGTATGATTGCGTCATCTTCTGTATAATGATGATGTTATTGTTGTGATGCAAATCAATACTTAGCAGAGCTAAATATACTGTAAATATGAAATTGTACCATACATAATGGAGGTTAATTTGCACCAAATATGCAATCAAAACAAGATTGGAGATAATATTAGAGAAGCAGGAAGAAGAATCAAGTAACTATTTCAGTTGTTATATTTGAGAAAACTCTAAAATGTAATAGGGAATTAAAATGTAATCATCTGTAACATCTACAATATTCTTACACCGAAAGGTTCCCCACAGTTCATCTAACGTAAATGAATATATAAAAGAATCAGTAATACTTGACATAACATGTTCTTTCTTTTCTTACACTCTATATACATTGTGATGTAGAGAGAGATTGCATTACGTTCTCTGTGGATTAGAATCGATGTGGCTTGGACTGCATGCTATGTCATCGTTACGTAATAAAGAGGAGCTGTGTCATCATCCGTAGAAATTTCAAGAGCTTCTTGTCGACAGTCCAACCGATCACCAGCGGTTTTGCTCGTCTACCTCAATAGTCTCAAGGTTTTCTAGTTGCGGGCATCACGGAGTTGAATTTTTATTGTATCTCTGAATAGTCAACTGACTTTGCACACAACTTTTCCAAGATCAGACTTTTCTACGTCAAGACTCGAGAGTTTGACTGGATGGATGTGAGCAGCATAGCGAGATCTTTAGGTTACATGAATTCAGGTAAGTCGAAGCAACTTCCAACAGCAGCCTAAAAACTGAAGAACTATATGATATTTTGCATCTGGCGCAGGTGCTGATCATAATATAGGAGCTTTGTGCATGGATCCAAGTTTTGGTTTGTATCTGCACTGCATAAACTAAAAGCTAGATGACAGTGAGGGCAGACAAGTCTAAATGACGCGTCCGAGATATGTAATATTTTCTTGACATCACTGCTTGCTTCTGTGTTCCACGATGCCTTGTGAATCCATTCAAGCCAACTAACCCCGCTATGCCTCCCTTTGTTTTCTTGTCCATGGAAAGTTTTGCTAGCTCATCACGCTGTATTCATGCAATTGTCGTCCTCTTTTTGATGATGAATGCTCTTCTTCCTCCGAACTATTCGATTGTGGAGAGAAAAAGAAGAGTGGTGAGGCTTTTGTCAAAATAGATAAAAAGATAAACCCTTTTTACAAGTTAGTTCGATGTTGTATGCTGTAGTCACTACAAGATTTACAACTCCAATTTCTACTCGTTATGAAACCTATTTGAATCACAAATATAAAAATTATGTGCATGTCCAAGGATTAGAACTTCGATGTCTGTTTAGGATTTGCCATGATTATTGACACAATTGTTTAAAACATTCACCAACAAGACAACATGGACGTGAATCAAAAGATCAACATGAGAAGGTCAATCTCTCCTCAAACAACCAGGGCGACTATTGTCACCCTATTATCTTCATGTTATACATATATATATTCCAAAGACTATTACGTAAGCATAACGAATGAGATTTTTCTAACTGTATAGCATATGAGATTTCTTCAATTGCACGAGGATATTTAAAAGTTTTAAGAGTCGGAGCCTCCCTGTTGTACAGAGTCTTCGAGTCTATTTCCACGCTTCTATGCATAATGTCGGAATGTAGTTCCTGCAATATATCAATAGTTTCACAGTAAAAGATATCTCGAAACAATTAAGCAACCGTAACCCAAAAAGACACAGGAAGCATCAAACATTCAGAAGATTTATTACAATTGTATGTGCAATGTCACCCTACTCCATGCTCAACATACTGATGTTATTTTTGGAATTTGAAATAATCTTTTTTTAATTAGAAGTATTAAAACTTCAAAAAAAAATGTGTACAATCAATAAAGTTATATCATCTATGAACATGAAAACAGAATGGCACTTCATGATTGTCCCTAGACATTCATGTGACCGAATACAATGTATCAATTTAAAAATTAAAAGTGTTGAATTTTGAAATAATTTCATACAGCCAATGAAGTGATAGCATCTACAATCCCTTAAAAGATTTTTTACTTTACAATTGTTAAAACCTGTTTTCGGGTAAATAATCAGTATTTAAACTAAGAATTAATGTATGCTTATCGTAAAAAAAAAAAGATAAACTATTTTCTTAATCCAACTTTACCATCTATGAATGTGCTAGCTAGTTTGATTGGTAAATATATTGTCAAATCACTGCAAAGTCTTAAAATCAAATCCTCAAAATCTGTCTTTCTGCCTCTTACCCAAGTGTTCACTAGTTTACTTGGGATTTTATTGAACCAACTTGTCCCCTCCTCCAAACTAACTATTAGTTGAAACTTTAATTTGAGTTGATATATTTTAAAAGTTATTATGATACCAATATTATGATTAATCTCATAGGCAACTTTTGCATGCACTAAAATTTAAATGCTAATTAAAAGAGAAAGCTTTGCTACCTTCCATAATTGTTGATTCTGGAATGCGTGACACTAGATGCCTTCCCTCCTTTTTTTTTTTTCTTAATTGTTTCTCCAAGATTGGACATTTCAGAATCGTAAAGGATTGGAGGCCGGAGAGATACTGCCACAAATCTTGGGGTAATGATTTAAGCTTGAGGCAATCCTCGATATGCACCCGATGAAGCATCGTGAGTTGTTGTAGTTCAAGTGGCAAGGACAGTAGGTTTGGACAATCATCAAGAAATAAACTCTCGAGAGAGGTGAGCTGACCAATGTCTTCTGTTAATGAAGTTAGACCAATGCAATAAAGAATATTGAGTCTTTTGAGGGACGTGGGGCACCTAGGCATTTTTTTCAATCCCCCACATTTATAGATGCAAAGATCTTCTAGCTCCGGTGGGAGTCCAATTGGTATTGTTGTTGATGATGATGGAAGTGCAGGCGAGAAATCAATCAGGTTGCCACAATCGATAACAAATAATGATTTCAAGGACTTCAAGCCTTGAAACTCCTCAGGGAACGTCCTCAGATCTTCACAAGAATCGATTGTCAGAGTGTGAAGGGAGACGAGGCTTTTCCAAAACATGGACTGCCTTGATGAGAACAACCAGTCGCAGTCACTGGTATACAATCGTCGAAGCCCTACGCTCCATGATGCCTTCGTGTCCTCTCCCTGTAGCTCGATCTCGTTGCGTCCAACGATACGTAATTCTTCAAGGAACTGTAGATCACGAGGAAAGGTAGAACGTGTCTCGCCATCTACAGTTACACTATCAGTGTTAATACAGAGGACGGCTAATGTGCTCAGGTTCTCAATCGATCCCAACAACATTCTGTTGCCGCTCGGCATACCCAGAACTTTGAGGGAAGGCAACCGTGGCATTGATCCCAATTTCGAGCACTCTGAGATTCTTAGCTCAACAAGGTGCGGGAAGCACTTCCCCTCCTCCACTGCTCCGCCACCCTCCACCTCCCACCATTGCTCCAAGCTTGGCATCCCCTCCAGAACCAGCCTTTTCAACGCCGGGAATGTTTGTTCTCTGCAATCACCTCCACCTTCACCACGGATGATATGCTTCAGGGAATCCATATGATTTAAACTTAGCACCTCGAGCGAGGGCAGCTGCCAAAACGAAGGGAGATGCTGGCAATTTCTGCATCCACCGAGATGAATCTCCACCAGCAGCTGGTACCGACTCAACAATTGCTCATCTGATGTCCATGTCGGAAACCTGACTCCTCCGTAGCCCCAGATCGATAAGACCTTTATGCCGTCGGGTGGTGCCAGTGCTTTCAATAACGCCTCGCTATTCTCATCTCTCGTCTCAACATTCTCGGAAAGTGATTCTTCCTCAGTCCAATCGACAACTCCCCAACATAGTGCCAAAGAGTGTAGGTCTCGTTTAGAATGGAGATTAGCTTCTCTTGCATTTGCAGCATTTCTCACGTTTCCCAGGCCATATATCTCTAGTTTGCCTGAAAGGTTTAACTCCTTTAGCTGTCCTATTCCTCTCCCAGCACCAACACCCACGATGTATTTTGACAATGTGTGCAAGCAGCTTAATCTCCCCAGCCCTTCGGGCATGTCCCTCAGCTCCGGACATTCATCGAGATAGAGATGCCTGAGATTACTCATATTCTTCATCTTACTTGGCAACTTACGTAGTAGTTGACATCCAGAAAGCTTCAACGTCTGCAAGTTGAGCAGCGTGGTGATAGCTTCAGGTAACTCTGGTATTGTAGAGTAAGAAATGTCCAGGAATCTGACATGCTTGAGATGTCGTGCTAGATTTTGCAACATCGTAGCATTTAAATTATGGAATCCTAACACTCTTAATTTCGCCGGTCTTGAAATGTTGTCCACAGCTTTTCCATAATATGCATCTCGTACCAGTAGTGTCCGCAGGGCAGGAAATTTCCCCAGCGTCTCATGGATTTTGGAAGACGAGGAGGTGCCTGGTAAGGACAAGTGATGCACATCTTTCCTTGGTGCTGTGGCGGTGCATGGCTCTAGCAACGCAACACCTTCTTCCCCTGATATATGTTGTGCAAGGTCATGAATGAGGTCGTGCATCTTGCATGTTCTCAAATTGCAATATCCTTTGACTTCTAACTCATGATCTCTCCAACGAAAATAAGCATGCATGATATTACCCCAAAAGTCCAGGTAGCTACGTTCTTTAACTCGGCCTACGTCTTGAAAGAAGCATCTCTTGTGTAGTTCCATGAAAATTCGGTGGCCTTTAACCTCCCCGGTTCTGCTGTTCCTTCCGATGGAATAAACCCCTGAGCCATCCACAGTCGAATCAACATGTCCACTTCTATCTCGTAATCTTTGGGGAATATGGCACAGAAGGCGAAGCATCGCTTCAGGTGCGAAGGCAAGTCATTATAACTCAGAAGCAGTGCAGGTAGGATATCACCTTCACCCACTTTGGTATCCCAGATGTTACTTTCCTTTATAGCAGACCACTCCCTTTCATCATTCTGGTAGCTCAGCATGCTGCCCAGGGCCTTTACTGCGAGAGGCAATCCCCCACACTTTGTTACAATGGCTTTTCCAATCTCCACCAGATTTTGATGCTGCTGCTTATCATCATCTTGTCCGCTTGGAAATGCTCTTCTCCTGAACAAATCCCATGAATCTTCTTCAGATAGGAATGCCAGCTTGTGAGTGGTGAGCGTGCCCATCATGGACGACACTCCATCACTACGCGTGGTCACAACAACTCTGCTTCCGTCTCCTCCGCAAGCTAACAGCGCTTTTAAGTCGTCCCACTTCGATGAGTCTTCATTCCATTCGTCGTCTAACACAAGCAGATATCTTTTCCCGGCCAATACATCTCGAACACTGCATTGTAACATGTCCATAAATTTCAGGTCGCTCTGTCTCCCAGTGGCGGAACTGATGATCGCTTTAAGAATCTCTCCCAGATCAAAAACAGAGCCCACACAAACCCAAATACGCAATTGGAAATGCCTCTCCACCCGCTTGTCTTGGTAGATCAGTTGAGCAAGCGTAGTCTTTCCTAATCCTCCCATGCCAACTATAGGCAGGACTGCAATCTTCTCATTCTCGTCCCGTTGTTCTATTAGCAGCTTTACTATCTCATCCTTCTCCTCGCCTCTACCAATAACATCCGATTCCACAACATAAGAGTGCGTTTGTCGTACAGTTGGGGGGGTTTGCTCTTGTGTGCGAACTGCAAAATTGAACTTACGACTCTCTGCTGCAATCTCATCTATACTCTTTACTACTTCATTCAATTTCCTTGCCATTTTGAATCGAAAATAAAGTGCATTATGGGATGAAAAGAAGTCACTGACCTTGCCCATCATCTTGTTCTCGATTGCTCTGTTACTCTTCCTGAGGATTTCGAGATTAAATTCGTCGAGAACGTCCTCTGCAGCGTAGGCCGCATCCCTGAGTGCCGTCAACCACTTCTTGACGGCAGTGTCCTTAATCTGCTGCTCCTCTGCATCTCCAACGATGGATTGAATCCGCAACAACGTCCTCCCAAGCTTTTCCAGGTCCTCCTCCAGACCCCAGACAGCACCTATCTGCCGGACTACGCTCTTCTTCGTTGAGTCGATCAGAATTTCCAAGAACGACGAGAGAAGTGCCTCGACAACCATGATTATTGTTGTCAGAATACGGTGGTGCTGGAGGTTCAATGGACGATGTATCTCAGGTTGCATACGAGTCTTTTGCACCTCTCCGACCTCATTTACATTTATCTTTCTCGCTTGGATGGGATGCAATTTGTTAGCTGCGGATAGGATAGCGGCCTACCACATCGTTACGGGTGACGGAGAATTAGGATTCAGATTTCGGATAGAGAGTATGAGAAATGGCTACCACATCGTAGTAGGCGCGCAAATTATCCAATCCTAAGAGTGGGGAGGTAGTGACAATAAATAATAATACCATACTCTTTGAGTCTTGTAATTAGAATGATTATAATCTAAATCCCTTAACGAGGATCCATTCGAGGGTAAGTATGGTGCTAGCGGTCGTCGTAATTCCAGCTCCAATAGCGTATATTTAAGTTACTATAATTAAAAAGCTTGTAGTTGGACTTTGGGATGGGTCGGTCGGTCCGCCTTGCGGTGTGCACTGATCGTCCCATCTCTTTCGTCGGTAATGCATGCCTGGTCTTAACTGGTTAGGTCGTGTTATAAAGATAAATAAATTTTTGTATATGAACAAATACTAATAGGTCATAACACACAGCAGAATTAAATGGAATCACAATAAAATAGAATACCAAGATTTACGTGGAAAACCCAAGGGTAAAACCCATAAGATAAACTAGAGATAATCTACTATAAGAATAATTAATATACAAATCTTAATTTTTTATTCAAAACCCTAGCAGCAATCACAAAAGAATAACTGAGATACAAGGATTATGTCACTGTACACAATATTCAAATTCTCCTTGAGTAATTATAGCAAGAATCTAATCTGATTTAACCTGAGATGAGAACACTGCTGCTGATGATTGAGAACAGTTTCTCTATATTGTCCTTGTCTTCTTCATTTTCTTTCTCTTATTTTTCTATTATTTTTAACTGCTATTTTGGAATCAATTAGCTACTGTAAAATTCTGTCTTATTGGTGTAGTTTTCTTCCCTAAAAAATCACAACCACCACACTCTCCTATTAGATCTAGAGTTTCACTTGAAAGGAATAGACCGTAGGCTGTTAAAGCCCACTATAGCTGAATCCGGTGGGCTGTCAGCCCAACAAGTTACAAAAGTTACAAACGAAAAAGTTTCTGGTTCCGTGGATTGCACGCAGCATACGATAATATTCCTTTCTTCTTCTTCCTCTTCTTCATACAAAGCGGTTAACGAAAAAGTTTCTGCTTCCCTGGATCGCACGCAGCATACGATACTATTCCTTTCTTCTTCTTCTTCTTTTTCTTCTTCATACATAGCCGTTTTCTTTAACTAAGCGACCCGAGAGGAGTTGCTATCTCCTGCTGTCTCATAAACTTTCTATTCATCGGAAGAAACTGCTTATCCATATTGACTTGGTGTCAATGGAGTGCAGACATATTACTTCAAATCTGATAATATACTCTACTTAAAGCGAAAAATGCACCATCAATCTTCTGCTTTTTCGACAATAAAGCTAAACTAAGTAGACCGGAAATGTACACATCCATTCGCATCACAACGGACCAAAAAACCAAGTTCGGAGGCTCATCTCTGATCCAAAAATGAGATGTTTTGGTAGCTCGAGCAAAAGACGGCAACCATTTTTGCTCTACCTCTATAGCTCTCTGCTAATATCAATTTCCCTCCTCGCTTACACCGTGTCTCTAGTTTTGGGCATCCCGAGGTTGTCAAAGCTTCAAGGCTTGTGAAATATCACCATAAACCACCATCGGCGTCGATTTTAGCTCATGGCATCTCTCGAATTCCATATCTGAAGGCGAAGATGATATGTTTGGACAACAACTAATGGATGAACTTTGGAGAGATATCAGCCGAGTAATGTATTCCATTAACGTTATTAAACTTGGGGAGTTTTGAGAGAAGAAGTCTTTTGAGGGATGCAGGGCAATCTGCGATAGCTCATCATGGAGGGAGGCGAGGCTTTTCCAAAAGTTGGATTGCTCCGACGAGAACAACCAGTCGCAGTGACGGACGTGCAGTTCCCGAATGCCTATGCTCCATGATATGTCCTCTCCTCGAACCAACCGCAGATGGATTCCTTTGATAGACGCCTCGAGGACACCGTTTTCCCAGGGAATGGCATGTCTCACCAACTCTACTACTACGGCGGCAATTGCTGCCAGCTTCGAGCTCAGCTCATCAAGGCAGGGTGAAGCACTTCACCTCCTCGGCTGCTCCTCCATCCTCGTCAAAAAAATAAATACCTCTGGGATCAATTGAGAAATTGGATAATTTTAAATTTGCCTACATAAATCAATCATCATTGTGTTTGAATCTAACTAATACCAATTCCATCAAAAAACACTCAAGCTTCGAAGTTAGAAGTCAAACCTAGTACATATAACTCAATTATTCTGATTAGAACATATAAGTCAAACACAAACTTAACTCAAAGGGTTAATCTTTTAAATTATGGGTCAAGGCTATTATATATAATCTGATTATTTCAATCATTATCGATATGAAAATATAATCTCTTTCTTTATTTTACACATGAATATTTCCAGCAAAGACATTATGAAGATAGGAACATTTTTACCTGACAATTGCTCAAATTTTTTATATTTTGATACTGTTATCATATTTCTTAATTTTGCATGAAATTACAAGTTATATCATTATGTAAATTTAAATGCACCACAACGAGATCAATTTTGAAGATATCATCTCTTTTTATTTAACTTCTGAAGCTCTCTCTCTCTCTCTCTCTCTCTCTCTCCAGATTGTGTATATCACACAGAGTCAACCTTCCATAATTGCTTGACAAGCAACCACCTGGTGTCCCAACTGCTGCTTTTGTGTATGTTCAAGCAATGGCAAGAGATTCTCCAATATGCCGACATTTCGATCCCGTGGGTTTGAGTTGCAGAGACCCATCCAGCATTATGCTCTTTGGGACTGTTGAGGATTAAATAGTTAGATATTGGGCTTCTTAAACCACACTTGATCTGCATTGGAAATGGTAGCCAACTTGATGAATTCATGTGGTGGATGCACAGAAGCTGTTCGATGAAATGCCTGTAAGGAGTGTTTCCTTTGCATGTTACTTTTTTCTTTTTGTCCTTTAGAGTGTTTGATTGAAATATTTCATGTGATCACAAACAAAAGGTGTTCATTTAAATTTCACTATTCTGTTCAGTTTAGGATACAAAGTTGACGAATACATTGAAACTGGAATCTGAAGATCATAGATGTTCAATTTGTTTTGCAGAGCTCAACTCCAGAAGAAGCACAGAAGCATTTGCCAGAATAACATCTATAATAATGAATTTATCACCAGGAGAGTATTCAAGAGAAAGTTTTGCCAAGTTTTATTGGTTAAGATGAAGGATGCCCTTTGAAGCACTTCAGATTCAATGAAAGAAATTCGAGGTCATTAAGAACTCACAAACAAAGCAACAGTAACAGGAGGCTGAAATGTATTCATAAGTTTCAATGGTGAAGCAAGCTCTTCTGTTGATCATTGGTTAAGATGGAAGACATGCATAGTTAAAGCCGTAAAAGTAGAGGTTATTGGTAATTGGTGAAGTGAGCAGAAGATTTACCTCCACTCTACACGGTTCTAATTCATTGTAAGTGTAACTTTGCCTATTAATAATTACAATACCAGTTGTTATCTAAATTGTTTGGAATTCAGAAGCATTGAAATTAAAATATCGTTTGCACAATTCATGAAGTGACAGCATATATGAACGGGAAAATAGTTTATTACTTCACAATTGTTATCTGACATCCATATGACTTTGTGTAGCTGTTTGAAATTTAAAACTCTTTGACTTTGATATAATTTTGCTCAATCAATGAAGTGATAGCATCTATAATTTTCACAATTTCTCTGAGAATAAAGGTTATCATTTGAATTTATCATAAACATGCTACTTGCCAAAACAAATCAATCATGAATTCTAAAATTAGTGAATATTAAAATAAGTAAAAAAGAATGATATTCTGAATACATAAATGAAACATTTATCATAAACACAAGCTATAGTATGTTAAGAGCTTTTAAGTTTCTTAAAAATGCTTCTCCTATGTGGGAACCGCACTTTACAAACACAGCTGGGTAGCCAATGGGAGCATCAACCCAGGCTTCAAACCCTTGATTATGCCCCGGGTGATTGAAAGGCCTGGTGAAGATCTTTCCTGTCCAAATGTGTTGCCAGGAACACCCACCTGCCATAGGGAAATAGGCCTTGACCTCCTTTTTGGCCTTGTCAAGGACAGGAACTACCAGTATATCTGTCCCAACTAAGAACTGCTGGTATGTCAAGCTATGTACATGCTTGTCATCTGGATAGTGGAGGAATAGATGCCTAGCAACAGGCAAGCCTCTCTGAGCTGCCTCCTGAGAAAAATAAATCAACAAAAGAAGCACATCAGAAAAATGAAAAGAGGATTTCTTGCATATAGATATTATTTTTTTTTGAAACAAAATCTAATATCCACATACATTTATGAGAATGTACCTTTACAAGTTGGATTCGGTAGAATTTCCAAGCTTTGTATATCTTGGCACACCGTGCAAAATGAGCTAATGTGTTTCTGTTAGAGTAAAACTGGCAATTGGACGATGGCTTGTTTCCCTGTAGATGCTACAAATGTTAGTGTTGCTTCCACTTAGGGAAGTATGGAAATCAAACTTTGCTACTAGTTGAATTTTTTGGTGCTTACTTCATGTGTCCGGAATACTACATTGAATGCATTTAATTCCATCCAGCGCATGAGAAGTTCTTCGCTTCGACGGTACCTGATGATAGGCATGTCTACTGTACAGTAGCCTCCAATATCACTATGGTTGAAGGCAAAACCTGAGAGGCCACTGCTCAGCAAACCTGTTACGCTACTCTTTATTCCATCATTAGCCTGCCAACTCACCATTTGATCACCCTCCCAAAACAACATAGACCACTTGGGGCTACCTCTGAAACCAGCCCTCATGAAAAAGACTAAGTTTTCTTCTGGATCTTCCTTCTCCTTTCCGTGACAGGTTGCTGCCCAATCATCTACAAATTCCCTGTTGACCTTAGCCCAAAGTTCAGGGTATCTGTTATGAGCTTCAAAGGGGTCTTCATCTATGTGAAAATATAAATACTGTGTTAGTGTTTAAACATCATACTAATATTACAATAGAGAATTTTATTGAGTACCTGAATAGAGGTGAGCATCTAAAGGTAATCCTTCACCAAAATCGGCCATCCAACCTCTTACTCCAGTATCCACCATTTCGCGTAGAATTTTCTTGAACCAACTACTTGTTGCAGGATGTGTAAAATCCAACATTCCCACATCAAAAGCCGTATTTGGTATCATGTATGTTCCTTGTGTTTTATCTTTTACTAAGATGCCTAAACTCTTAGCTTCTTCAAACAGATTCTTGTATTTGTTTGGCTTGTCATCAGTCTGCAATTGACAATGATCTCTTTTTCAGTTAAACTGATGACTGAATGAAATTGACCCATCTAATTAAATTGAAAAGGGCTCCAATGAGGGAAAGTTATTTACTGGAACAAGGCAGGGGTTGCAGTAGGTCATGACTCTAATATCATGAGTACGAAGATCGTTGACTAGCTCTCTCCATCCAGCATAATGGCAGGTATCAACTTCCCAGTTCCACCATAATTGTGACCCAATTACTGTTTCCCTCTTGCCAACCCAGTCCTGCAAGATTATCACCTAGATTTTAATAAAGATTACAGAAAACATGCATGCATGTGTTGTAGGATGTCGTAACAGGTTGTCATGAATTCACACCACTAATTTTGCTAAGTGGTGGCTTCTATTTCTTCATGACTTCCCTTCTAGTTTTGAAGATCTTAGATCTGTGGTTAGCCATTTGCTATTTATTCTAAGGCCACGCACACTTGAACAAACACTGGTGGCAAATGATATGATTGAACTTGTTGGTAGTGGTAACTTCATTTCATATAATTATTTGATGTGACTTACCGAGCTTATCTTGTATTTATCATAATTTTTCTTCTTTGAAATATTGTTCATATCATGATATTAGCATCAGTTTCGATCACCTGCAACCAAAATGCTGAAATAGGAACATCATGATCCTGTAATTGATCCCACACTCTGCGGACAGCTTCTGTGCCTCCCTGCATCCCGACAACAGCACCAGAAATAATCCAGTTTGGAAGCACTGGAGGTCTCCCTATGGTTTCTGTATAGGTTTCAATTAGTTCAACAGGTGAATATCCGTTCAGTATTCTTCCTTGAGCATAATTTCCATATATCTGTAAGAAGAATTTGCATTAGTTGTTTGTCATGCGGCTAGAAGTTTGATATGTACCCTTTCAGAAATACAAGTCACATCATGAAGAAGAAAAGATTAAGAGTTGAAGCGACTCAAAACTGTGCAGTCAAAGACAACAGTGCCACAAGACATGAGGTTGTCGATTGTCTTAGTATCAGGTTTGTCTCTTTTTTCATATGTAATTATGGATATACAAAAAATAGTCATTTAAGTGAGATAATGTGTAGTATTTCATTTTCCCGCAACTTTATTTTGTTTTCTGATGAAGATAAAACTATTTCACTCTGTCATGGTAAGTAAGATTCGGAGTTGGAAGATTTCATAAATCCTTGATGTTCTTCCATGTTAAGAAGTGAAAAGGCAATGTGTTCCACAAAGAGTCCATTCTAATCCCATTAGCAAAAATTGTAGAACTCAAATGTCACTTTTGAAAATTCAACTAAAAATCAAATAAATCATAGCTTTTGTCAGATTCAAGTACCTGAATCTGTACTCTATCAGGCTTTGTGAGATCAAAAGCTGAATAATTGTATCCTTCAAGATAAAGGGATCTCATTTTGGAGGTCATGTAGAATGGTGAAGGGGCATATGTCGTACTCCAATCACCTCCTGATCTGTCAATTGCGAAGCAGGAGAATTTACAATTTTGATTCTAAAAGAACCCTAATAAATAATGATTACCTGTAACTAATCAGATTGGCTGCGAAAGTGATGGGTTGATCTCCTCTTCCAATACCTTGCTCTTGGACAATTATAGGCACCCTCTTTCCTTTGAACTCCATATGGGAGAATTGCTCCCCAAAACCATAGAACTTTTCATCTTTGTCACTCGCATATGTGATGAAAACTTTATTGAATTCTGTAACCACTTGCTCTTCTCCTTGCTCATCCTGTGATGAGAGTGCAACAAAACCTCTTTGCCTTGAGATGTATGCAATGCATTGACGCTGCATTCGGATTAGTTTCCAGCTTGAGCCCTGTAGAATTCTTCTTTTTGTTACACTTGGGCTCAATTTCTTATCATATTCACCAAACTTTACAGAAAAACCAATTTGATTGCTGCTCCTCTGTTCAAGCAAAAACCAGTATCTAGCAACAAATGAAGGTTTCCTAGCCCATCCAAATCTGATTTTTTTCTTCCCCAGGTACAAGCTTTTCTTAGGAAGTATGTTAGTCTTCTTACTGGAGAGCCTTCCTGTGATCATCAGAATCGGGGAGTAAGACTTATTGAATGATTCAGGAGTTCCTTTATTGTTTGAGTTTGAAAACCCAGATAAGAGATTATCATCTTCAGCATTCTCTTCAATGTCCGCCTCATAAAGAACCCTTATTTCTTCCACAGACTGGTGCTTGCAGATGAAAAGAACATCACCATCCTTAATAGCAAAAGAGCCTCTGCTCTCCTCCACCTGAGTCTGGACAGCTGCAGCAGATATGAAGGCCTCTCCTGGGATTGTAGACCATATGCTCCTGTTAGGCTGAGATCGGTGCGAGATCGAAAGGCAGCCACCATTTCTACAGCTCCAAGCAAGCTGGAAATCCTCCCCAATCTGAAAACTCTGGTCTTGTGAAATCTTGTGTGGATTGAAGGAGAGTCCTCCATGGATGAAAGGCAGGCACTTTGGGGTGGAAGGAAAGGGATTGTTGATGTGCTTGTGGTGCTTCTTGGAGATCCTCAACTCTGGCATGGTTGGCTAATTGGGAAGTGATGCTCTCCTCCTGTAGGTTGAAAGATTCAGAGATCCAACTGCCTCTATATATACAAATAGCAAATTAATCCTGAATATTCTGGTGGAGCCCAGATCATCACTATCTTGAGCAAATTCACCATAGAGACCTTTTCTTGTGTCAGATGCATTTACAGTTGTCCTATTTCTTCTTTTCCTTAATTGTATTTCTTTTATATAAAGCATCTATTATCATTATGTATTTGTCAGATTCCCAACTATTTTCATGTTCTTTGTCATGTAGAAAAGTGTTGTATTTTGTTCATGTGGTTCTACCCTTGAAATTAAAAGTGAGAGAGACAGAGAGAGTGGAAAGAAAAGAAATCTGTCCATGGGGTCCAGGAGAGATTTCATATGCAGTGAACACAAAGATATCCTTTTTGTTTTTTTGTTTTTGGTGGTTTGACAAAGTTCAAGTTACAGATCAAGGACTTGGTCAATTGATCATTTTCATGATATAGATGGAAATAAAAACATGTATCTCAGGACCATAGATTCTGAGTGACCTTAAAGTCTGAAATTTTGAAAAGAAAAAAATGAATATGGACATCTACTTTGACACTTCTTTTACTTGAAAACTGAGGAACTTTGAGTTTGATGCTAGAGAAGTTTGACTCTTACATCATTCATACCTAATCTTTCATATCCAAAAGACCTACTCAGAAACAGTGAAAATTGACCAGATTGTTAAATTGTTTGGCAAAATAGCAAGTTTTTTTATTTGCAAATAGTGAAAATTAATAGCTATATGTAAATTTAATATATCAACTATATACACATACTATATATATATATATATACATATACATATATATATATATATATATATATATAAGATGGGGATTAACTATAAGAAAAAAAATTGCAAGTTTATGAGTTTTGTTTAATACACTAAAATACAGAAATCACTGATGGAATACATATGCAATTTTTATATACATCCACATGTTGGACAGATTGGATGTATCTAGATGAGTTTCTGGCCTCCTGCATTGCCGGATGTTTCCGGATCTATTCGTTGAGTATGTGTTGTGTATCTACCCACTTTAAGAAAGGAATTCTGCCTGGTGCACCTTCCCGTGATTGCGGGAGCATACACAACTTACATACGCACATTAGAGTCATTTTTTGCTTTTGCATATTATGTTCGGTTTGATGGGGACTAAACATTTCGACACCGTTTCATTAAATTTAAATAAATTATTTTAACATGTAATAGATTTAATCTACTGTTAGATTTTCAACTCTTTCACAAGTTATAAATCATCATATATAATAAATTCACTTCTTATTTTTAGCCTACTTAGACATACATAATTATAAACTAAGCCGCAGTCAGACACTACACGAGGAAAAAGCTAACAATTCTTATACGCATTGGGGAAGGCGACAGTAGTAAGTTTTCCAAAGTTAGATGGTGTTTTGGTCGATGATGTCCATCTCGTATTCATTTCCGTGCGTACGCAACACGATAATACTACTAATGGATGTTATCTTTAATATCTTTAATATTCGATGATGTCCATCTCGTATTCATTTCCGTAAGTTATTCGTTTTCATTAGTTATCTTTAATATTTTAGTTTCTATATTTTTAAATATTATATTAAGATATTTATATTTGTGAGAGTAAACTATTTAATCTCATTATTTTAATATTATTTTTTTAATCCTATATAGTGATCTCAATATTTTACTTTTATAAGTATAAAAATCTTTATTTAAATTTTAAAATATAAAAATTAAAAATATTAAATATAATTAATTATAAGAATAATTTATAATTAGCCCTAAGTATCAAAGATACATATTACTTTTGAGAGAGCTTATGTCTCCAGTTTCTTACTCTCTCTTTTAGATTTTTTTTTTAACTAGCAGATTTAATTCGTATAGTTATTTTTATTTTAAAAATAATAATAAAGATTGAAGTACGTAAAGTGAAGAAATCCTTGCCATTATTTTGGGTCCCATTTGTGGGTTTTGCTTCCACGTTTCATCAAATAACGCAGGCAAGGCAAGCAACCTATTATTTATTTATTTATTTATTTTCTTATGACGTCAATCTGAAAAGTGACAGCGGGGCCCGATGTAGACCTCGATGTCTCAATCGATGGTGTTTGGCACACCTGTATTTTGTATTTTTATCATTCCTAGATTTATCTTTGAAAATATTATCTATATATATATTTATGTTACAACATAATTTGATGGGGTAATTTTATTTATGTTAAACATGAGAATATTTGACTCTGTCATCGATGGGGACTGCTTCAGTGGGATGTGACTTGAAGTTTGTCATCGGTGAAATCCAAATCAGATTGATCAGCATTAATATACATCAGATTCGTTATAAGTCAAATATTGACTTTGATATCATATTCATATTGACATGGATGATGAGTCTACATAGTAACATATATCTCACAATAATTTAACTTAAGAGATTTAGGTTTATTAAGTTGAGTCAAAATCAGTATATGTTCATTACTCTTTCGAAGTCAATATATGTCTGACTCTTTCGAATTTAATATACACTATGGAATTATTTTTATCCTCTTTTCTAATTCTATTTCCCACTTGAATGATCTATTAATAGATAAACCAATTTGAGAAGTTCCCAATTGGTGGATGGATGTCATGTGCGATAATAGAGATTGTTGTGTCATCAACTTTGTACGACATGGATGGTGTTGTTGTACACTGAGAGTAGACATAAAACTTGATTTTTGATTTAAATTAATTTCTCATAAATATTTGAAACAAATTTTAGTAAACTATAACGAGAAATTGTTAGTGTAAAAACATCATCAATCTCACATCCTTGAGAGTAGATACTTCTAAAAGAAGGATCCATTACAGCCGTGTCTCATAAAAATTATTATGATACTTAAGTGAGTTGATGACACACTTAGTGAGTACAAGAGATAACCCTAGTCCAAAGAGACTAAGAATAAAAGTCTTTTTTTATAGGTCTCAAGTTCAGTTGTTACCTTAATATTGTTGATTAAGAAGTTAATACGATTTGGTTTTATCTTGAAGGTGTAAACTCATCCAAAAGCCCCATGGGGGGTCACGTGAGGGTGATCAAAGTGGGGGCAGGGGGTTGGACCTAGTGGTATGATCCTGAGGTGCTGCTTGTTCATCAAGGCGGATACTGTGTCATCCCGAGATGCGCTTTAGTCTCGTCGAGGTACTTACACAAGCGGTTAGCGTCGGGAGGATGTTCCCGACTCGACTCCTCCAGTAATTAAGTTAGTAGATAAGTAGGAAACAATCTAACATCCCCCTTGAGCATTGGAGGCTGGCATTCATACTTGAGCCACCGATGGCATAACGCCAATGGCAGGTTGGAGTGCCCCTTACGTTATTCTGGGGTTCATTAATATCAACAGTTGGCGGATGCATCTCTCTATGGCATCGGGGAAGGATGATAGCGGGGTACCGTTTGTCAAGGTTGAGGCTTGTTTGGGATAAGAAGGAATAGCCCCCTACATTAGGTGTTTGGACAAAGAGGAAAGAAAAACTTGGCCACGTCACTTAGAATTAATGCCTTATATTGTTGGTCGTGCAGACCTTCTCGAAACTATTATTTGATGGGGTGTGTCAGATGACCCAAGAAAGGGAAAAATAAGGGATGGGCATTGTTGTCGTGGATTAATGTGTCCTACAACAAATTCGTGCAACTCTCGAAGAGATCCAATTGGGCAAGGGCCGATGGATTATACTTTCATTGACGATTGCAAGAGAAAGGCACATGCTCTTTTGACCATGTCATTGCTTAGGTTGTAGTCCCCGACTAGATGAATTGAATTGGTAATGTCATGCTAGCATGATTATTTTCTCTATCTAATATTCTCTTTCAAAAACTCATGCTGATTGGACTCATTTCATATTATTACCAAACAAGTGATCATATCATTATTATGCTAGTTAAACTCTCAGTTACATGATGTCAACACAAAGCTCATTTTAAAGTCCGTGTTTACGATGAACATCTCCTAGCCTCTCTTTGCATCTTCGCCCCCATCAACCCCCGTCAAACCTTTTGGCCTCGATTCTGCCTGCTTCACCTTTATTCTCCACTACTAATATTGAATGTCTACTACATTGATCTCCATTAGAGCATATTAAAACTTCTTCCATCAATTCCATTATATTTGAAGGGGAGAAACTATATTGTGGCGTTGCCCTTAGTCTTCTTGTCTTATAGGTAAATTTTTTTATCATCCACCCCCTCTTGTTGTCCTTAAATTTGCTACCTCTAGGCTTTGGCTTCCTATTAATCCTCCCTCACTCATCGACCTAGAATTAAGTTTCTTCCTCTTCCATTTTCATATGGAGGTTGATGTCATTTAGGTCCTCACCGAAGGGCGCTAGCACCTCCACGATGTCGTCTTACAACTTATCCAATGACAACCCTGTTAGAATCGTAAAGGCACTAAGAGGAGTAAGCAATAGTGAGCAACTAAATCAGTAAGCAATAAGAATGAAAAACACAAAGAAAATGCACATCAGATTTATAGTGGTTCAGTCTCGATTCCTCCTCTGTCGAGGCCACCAGCTTTTACTAATGATCTTCTTTCAATGGGCGAAGATCAACTACCCTTATTATAACTCTTTTCTTCTTTTCATATGTTTATGAGAAAATATTTACAACTCTTTTTTACAAGTAATCCTCACAACTCAATTAGAATGACTTAAAATATTAA